GCCCCTCGCCAGCCTTGAGTCGAGCTCTTCGCGGCTGCTGCACCAGCCTGGCAGGGGGCTGAGCTGGGCCAGAGCAGCGTGGGGACGGGGGGACAGGGAGGGGGGCTAGGGCGAGTGGTGGCTCTGCCTTGCACACTGGCTTGGGCCAGCCAAAACCCCTCTCCTGGGCAGCCCCATTCCCATAGCCAAAGGGCAGAGTCCTGGAGAAAGGAGGTTTTTTTTACAAGTGTCACTGGGACGTGCTGTCCCCAGCTCTCCAGCGCTTCCCCCGCTGCGCTTCGCAGGGCGCTGCATGGGAAGGAGGTTTGCCTCGGTTCCTCAGCGGGGTTACAGATGTCTCGGGGTAACCTTCAGCTCAGCCCTGCAGCCCTGTGCTTCCAAAACCTTTACAAAAACGTGTAGCACCAACGCTGAGCCCGGGCGTGATTTACAGCCCGGCGGAGGAAGCTGTCAGCGCGCTATAAATAAGGGGTTTGCCGGCCCCAGCCGGGAGCTGTAGGGCTCCTGGGAACCAGGCGAAAGGCAGGCAGTAGCGTAAATCATCTCCCTGCCCAGGCACCCCTCTGCTGTATCGCACCCATGGGTGCTCCAGCCCGGGGAGGGGGGTGGACACAGGCACCCTTGTCCCCCTGCTGTCATCCGCACCCCCCTCCCAGCTGCTGCCACAGGTGGAGATGGAGAAGGAGGCAGCGGGCTCTGCCGCCCCGCTCAGAGGGACATCCCAGGGGCATTTCCCAGGCTGGAAGCCCCTTGGCCACCCCGCTCGGCAGGCCGGAGCCGTCCTGGGGCCTGGCCGAGGCCATGGGCAGGAAGGGACCTGGGCAGGGCAGGACGTCGTGCTGCATCCAGCAGAGGAAATGGCGTTTCCTGCAAAGCCGCTGTTGCTCCGGGCCCCGGCGCGACTCGCTGCTGCGTTTGCTCAGCCCCGGCTCCCGTCCCAGCTGCGCGGCCGCCCTGTCCGGTGGCGCTGGGAGCTGGGGGACAGCAGGTCCTGGGGAGAGGGTGCAGGGGGACACCCCCAGGATGATGATGAGGGGACAGGGGAGATCCCGGCCCAGAGGACTCTGCGCAACCGCGCGGCTTGGTGTGGCCTGGGGACAAGGACAGGATTTTACTGCATGTGTCTCTGTTAGCCATGGAAGTTTCCCACTGTTTTATGTCCCG